ATCTGGGTTTTCATTTTTTAATCCATATGATCACTGATGCTTTAGCACCACTTTCAAGAATAACAATATAAGTATGATATAAAAAGTATGCATTTTCTGTTCAACAGTGTCTACTTCTGCTGATTGATTTCAGCTTAATACTTTTGCTGATGGATTTCAATTTAATACTGATAATTTCAACTTAACATCAGTACTGTGAGACTTTGTTACCAGAAAATATTTATGAACACTGTCACATTTCTGTATGTATCACATAGTGCAAGGTAATTAATTAAATAGGAGAATGTCATCATGTGAACATTACTGATGTTGTCAAATTTAAGTTGCTTCCCATACTCTTTGTAAAAGGCCTGCCAAGCTGAAGGTGATCTGTTTTCATGTGATGAAAATATATTCTTCTGACATTTAAAAATGTATGTTTAAATCCCATTCAACAGGCAGCAACTCATTCCATTCCAGTATTTTTACAGTCCAAAATTAAGTTTATTGTTTTATAGCAACAAGCTAAATGGATTGATGCATAGTACAGCAGAAATGCAAATGAAGATACTTTCAATTCAAAACAGATGTTGGTTTCAGAGAAAGATGAGATGATGAAATAGTAGGTAGAACATAAAGAATGTAAGGAATGATAAGGTTAAAAGGGTTGTGATTTCAGCTGCTCTAAGAGCCCTGATGCCTGGTGATCACATCTTCTAATTCCCCAGACATCTGGTCCCTTGAGGGAGTTTTGGGATCTCTTTGAACAGGTTGCACCCAGGCTTGGATAGGCATCAGAGGATTTGAGGATTTAAGCGGCTGTGAAGTGAGTAGTTACAGCCATTAGCATGAATACAGCAATTGATAGAAGATAGATTAAAGGGCTGGTGGGATATCCATAAGGCACTTGGGGTAAAACAGAGGGCTTGAACTGCTTCTAGCTTTACTGCAGTGGCAACCAGTTGTGTAACTAGAAACAGAATTACATGGGCTATTTAGGACACTGAGTTCAATCCAGTGCTAAGTGCAGGAATCCAAATTAAAGCTTCTCAAAGAGATTGTTGTCCTTCATCCACTTGAATGCGACCAGTAAAGAAGAAACCTGCCAACTCTCTTGGTAAATGGTTCCACTTGTGAACTGCTTTTAGTACTAACAAGCATGCAAATTCTTCACTGAAGAAAACATTAATATCTCTTTGGTCAGCAATATGGGTAGTGCTCCTTGCACTGTAAGATACTGTACATTTTTCTCTCAGATGAATTCCTTTTAACATCATTGTTGTATCATACAAATGCTGGTTTCTCTATACTCTGGTTTTATTATGTATGTGTAGTAAGCTTCTCTATATCAGTGATAGTGTCATAAAAGCTATTTATGGTGTCAATTTAGACCATAAATACATCAGCTTCAAAGGACACAAGTAAGGATAAGGAATAGCAAGGAGGAAAACATGAAAATCCCTGCTTTGTTTAAAAAAAGAATTCACTAGTGGGAAGGAAATCTCCTTCTATCTGATTTCAAAAATACATGAATTGTGAAGAGACAGAAGTTATTGGCTTCTACAATAGCTCAAAGTCCTCTGAATCTGAAGTCTGATATGTGGAAATGTGCTAAGCCCTACAAGCTGGTACAACGTGATTCAAATTCATTCACCAAGTTATTTGTCAACTCCCATACACTGACCAAGTTATTTGTTAGCATGCTGATTCCATTCCAGCTCTTCAGTTGAGAGACAAAATTTTCTTAGCCATTCTTTTTTCTGTCTCTTTCTTTTTTTTGGGGGGGGGGGGCAGGAAGACCCTCAAGCCAAACCTCTCACTTATGCTGATAACTGCTCAATTTGTGATCAGGGAGGAGGCATTCAGGAAGATATAGGTAATTTCCTTGGAGCCAACTCGTCTAACTGCGACCCATAACCCTTTTGCTCCGTAACCATAAAATTCCCCAGCAAGGCAGTTCTTTATTATCCAGTCTTCTGATGACTTTTGACATTATACAAATGTATCAATTCTTGTCCAGCCTACAGTAATGTCATATCTCAAGGACAGCCACAATGTATTTGAAGTCCTCAGTAAGAGCCTCTATCTTTCTATAATTGACTTCAGAAATATGTTGCAGGCATATGGATTCAAATACTAAACATCTGTGTTGTTTCTATATATCAATTATGTGCTGTTAAAGGAAAAAGCAAATGTCCTATACAGTGAGAATCAGCTTCTATAGGTTTGCATCTTCATGCAAGAGAAAGGCCCCAACTTGGTCTATTTGTTTTTCACTGGCCTTAGGTACTGCTTTTCACACCTACGAAGTCTGAACAGTTTCCACAGGTGTCAAGGCTAACAGTTAAAATGCTTGAACACTTCCACTGTGCTTTCTGGTTCCCGCACCCGGAAATACTGTAGTGCCATATTCTGTTGCGATGGCAAACTTCCTAGTAATTGTTGAAGATTACTCTAACCTTTAGTTCTACAGCTAACATAATCTTGATCATTTGATAAAAATACTCATGCTTTTTAGGACCATACTCAAGGAAATTAGAATTGGTCTTTAAGACCTATATACTGTATTTGGAAACTCCACCACATTTGATTGACTTAAAAGCAACACTGGGAACTTCTCCAGCTTCCTTCTGATAGTGGTGGGTACAAGCACATATTGTTTTGACTGGCAGCAAGGTCTGCATCTGTAGATTTGTAACATTTATAAGCAGGTGGACAGCTACAAAAGCTGAGTTAGCAGGTGGCACATGAGGCTTATTGGCTAGCATAGCCTCTGTAGGTAGTGTTATATTATTAGATATAATAAGCCAGAAGCAACGGACATTTGCTTTTGTACATCAGTTTTGTTATTAGTGGTTTGTTTGTTTTTTATTTATTTTTAAGACTGGATTGAAGTGCATACACAGACTCAGTAAAAGGATTTTTTTTTTCCCTTCAGGTAATAAGGACATACAAAAGATGAGCATTAAAAGGACAAAACTTACATGAAAACAGGATAACCACATTTTCTCTTTATCTGTGTCGTATTGTTTATTGTTTTGTCTAGCCAAAAAAGTAGTGTTCAAGCTTTAGCTTTGGCAGCTTGTGATTCAAAAGCATTTTCAAGGAATTTCGACTGGTGGGGTCTAGGAAGAGGGCCTTTTCTGCCATGTCCCTCGCTCTGTGGACACTCTCCCCCCTTCAGGAAGAGTGTGAAATCTTGGCTATGCCAGATGGCCTGGGGGCCAGATGGGAGCTCGCACCATTGGAATTGGCTTGTGGGGTAAATGATTCTAGCCCCCCCGTCATCTTGAATGTTTTTAGCCTTTTTATGTATATGATCTTTTTATATAGTTTGACTTTTTAACTAATTAATGTGGATGTTTATATTTTTAACTGTTTCTGGGTTTTACTTTAATTGTGAGCCGCCCAGAGTCACCCTTTGGGGAGGTGGGCGGCGTATAAATTAAATAAATAAATAAATAAATAA